TCCGGAAAATGGGCTTGTCCTTCCATGGTATTAGGTTTAAAAGCGACCGTGCCAGTCTTGTAGAACTGTCACATCCTGGCCTCTCGCTGTCCCTACGTTATCTGCAAAGCTACTCGAATGTTTAGTGTTCGGAGATTCATCCGCTTCATACCATGATGGCGCTTCCATATTTTTCCCACGATGATACCTCCGACCTGGTTCCTCGTGGCTCACGGGATCTTCAAGGATTTTGCAAAGATTATCCCCTGCGACGTCATAAGTTTGAAGACTGGGCCAATATAGGATCTCAACAATGCCGAGACGATTGGGAGCAATATATTGGGCCGATAGAGCGCTGGGGATGCTGTAACCCGTGGGAGGGTCACTTCTCTGCGGTCGTCTTGCCCTTTTGTCGGCCCGATCGCATTGCCATCATTAGCTACTGTTTCGAATGTGAGATTTCAATGACTTGCTGAGCCATAGCTGTTTTGCCAAAGCTCACACATAATAGATGCATTCATGTACGATAATGTGGTTGAATCAGCCGCCAAATCCACAGTATGCCCTATAGCGAAGCTGTCTCCAGAGAGTTGCCCAAGCCTAACCAACTACAGTTAAACAATAACACGGATGATATTGCTCTCGATGAGGCCGAGTACCGAACCGTGCGATCTGTCACAGGAACCAAGCAAATCCAGTCTAAGATGCTACTCGACCTCCTGTCGATCGACGCCGCATGCGCTGAGGTTGTTATTGAGTCCTGGAAGACGATGATCAACACAACCGCAAAGCAGGACAAGACCCGCGCATTTGAAAGCCTGGAGGAATACGAGAACTACCGGATTGTTGATACGGGTGCACCGTAAGGAGACCCTACTGATTCAAACTCACTCTGCTCTAACCCCGATTACAGGTTTGTGGACACATTGATGCGTTTTGGCATGGGGCTTCTCCTCACGCCCGAAGAAGAGGATCTTGTCGCTCCTATTGTCAAGCCGTGCTATGCTGCCCTCGGACTCGCCAATGACTACTTCTCCTTCGATGTCGAGTGGGAAGAGTTTCAACAGTCAGAATTAAACCAGACCGCCATGACGAATGCAGTCTGGTTATTCATGCAATGGCACCGGGTGGATGAAGAGGAAGCCAAACGACTTGTCCGGCAAGTCACAAATGACTACGAGGGAGTGTACCAGCAACGAGTACAAGAATTTGCAGCCGGCAAAGGAAAGTCCAATACCAAGCTGCAATTGTATCTCACTGCGTTGGGATGCCAAATTCCTGGGAACGTCGCCTGGAGTCTACGATGTCCTCGGTACCACCCCTGGCTATGTGAGGAAGGCAGTGCCCTGTTGCAAGCATCGATGGAAGAGGCTCGCGACTTGCCTAACATAGGTAAAAGACGGAGTGTCTCAGGAGATAGTATCTCGTCTATGTCCTCCCTCTGGACTGGGGCAAGTGATCGCTCTGCACGATCATCAGTTTCATCGGCTCCTTCTCTCGACGACAGGGGAAAGGAGACCGACCGGGTTATACTCGGAACAGAGGTATGAGCGCTGTGCAATGTAACGTCTAATTGATCGAAATCTGCTAACAGTCTATAAAGCACCTCACTGGTCCAGCGGAGTACATCGCCTCCCTTCCCTCCAAAGGGGTTCGCGAGGCCTTTATCGACGCGCTGAACGTGTGGCTTGCTCTCCCCGATCGCTTCGTAAGCGTCATAAAGTCCGTTGCAAAGACTCTACATAATGCCTCTCTGATGTGAGTGTTTGCATCAAAAGATGTACCCCAAGCGCCACTCGCTAACGATCTATCGTCCTGCGTAGGCTGGATGATATTGAAGACGGATCGCCTCTGCGTCGGGGCAAGCCCGCGACACACACCGTCTTTGGACAGGCGCTGACCATCAACTCCGCTAACTTTGTCCTGATCCAGGCTATGGATCAAGTGAGATTGTTGGAGGAACCGCGCTGTGTGGACATCTTCGTGGAAGAGATGCGTAATCTGTTCATTGGTCAGAGTTTTGATCTGTACTGGACACAGCAGGGCGAGTGTCCGTCGGAGGAAGAATACCGGGAGATGATACGTCAAAGTAAATCCTGGCTTTTACATCCCTTCTATTCCTATCACGCACCTGGTACTAACTGGTATTCAGAAACTGGTGGGCTCTTCCGGCTATTAGCTCAGTTGATGATGCAAAAGGCGACGTCGAAGAAAAATCGGTAAGAAGCGCGGATGCTTTGATGGAAGACTATACTAATCTAACCCGACACAATAGATGCCTCCCATTGGAACCTCTTGTCGACCTTATGGGGGAATATTTCCAAATCCGAGATGATTACAAGAACCTTACTGAAGAGGTCAGTTCACTCAAACCGTAAAACTAGACTATCAAATTGACACGAAAGCGCAGTACACCGGACAAAAAGGTTTTTGCGAGGATCTAGACGAGGGGAAGTTCTCGTTTCCCCTCATTCATGGCAATAAGTCATTGCCTGAATCATCGGATATTCGGGATATTTTACAGCACGGCCGCCAGTCGGGCGGACTTGATCTCGCGCAGAAGCAACGGGTATTGGACCATCTCCACGAGAGCGGAAGCATGGAATACACGCAAAGGACACTTCGAGGCCTGATGGGTGAGATCCGGCATCGGATCGACGAGGTGGAAAAGGAATCAGGCTGCCCGAATTGGGTTCTGAGACTCCTTGTTCACCGACTGGAAGTCTGATATTGTATAGACCGATGGATGAAAGTAACGACAGTAATGTTGATTTCGGCGTTTATTCTACCATTTGGGCCGTGACGGTTAGTATGAGATGCTTGGGTGGTCTTGTCCATTTGAACATTTACAGTATATAGAACCTCTATGTGTGTTATTACATGTGTGATATGAGCAATGAGTTATCCGCTGCACTGCGCTCTGCCTACAGATGTGGGACGTAGTCGGACCAGCTAACCGTCTGGAAGGCACTGGCAGGCAAACTGCGCAGTCCGATAAAGTCCTCCGTGAGAACGTACGCTCGACCCACACAATAGACTGCACAGAGAACAGAAGTAGGAAATAGCACGCGAAGAGGCACCTCCCTCTTAGGATTGCGATACGGATCGATGTTTCTCAACTTGGCTGCTAAGTTTCGCAGACACGACCGCTGCCGGGATGGGTTAGTCGGGGTCTTTACTGTCGACAAGGGCAGAACCATTCGCCGCTTATACTCCCTGGGCAGCAGAATCTTGTCGCAATAACCGGCATGCAGTCCACCAATGACGGTAAATACCAGGTTGTATATACTGGCGATACGCCACAGAAGATGTTCGACGGGTGAAGGAAAGTGGAAATTCCACGCAAGCATGAACATCGAGCCGAATACAAGCAGCACCGGGGTGGCAATGCAATCGGCCTTCAGGTCAGTGATGGGAAAGTTGTCACTGACAATGCGATCGCGTGGTTTTGCGGTCATGGGACGTGAAAACATCGGAACATGCATTTGTCGCAGGATTTCTGTGTAGTAATGCCAGTGCACTGCGCAAAAGGAGACATCGTCGCACACAAAGTCTAGGGGGGTCTCGTGCCATTCTTGCGAAGGATAGGGGCAATGCTTAACCGAATTGAGACAATGTTAACGCACATTATCGGTTAGTGTAGAGTCAAACGTACCTGTTTCCGAATAATATTGATATCTGTATTTGCGTGTAGAGTCAGGGTACTCGAAATGTCTGATGGCTTGAAGCGCCAGCAGAAAGACGTCACTAAGAATACCACTACAAATGAGATCGTAGTGAGCTCCAAGGTCGTCAGAGCCAATCCCTGAGCTACACGCATGGCGCAGTTGACGAGCAGCCATAGTGCCTGGCAAACTGCGATCACACTGGAAACTCAAATAAGCCGATGATAAACGCTCTCGAGCAAGCTGGAGACGTACCGAGAGAACGCGTCAGATTTGTTCCGATCGTTGATGTCGTCTTCACCAATCATAGGGTAATCGACGTAGCCCTTTTCAATGAGGAATTGAAGCTGCTTCGCGTTCACTGGGAATGGCCGATCGGTTCCCGGGCCATCGACCAAGAAACCCCCCATATCCGCATAGAAGGCATGAGTTAAAGTCCAAAGGGGCCGGTTGGTGGTCTTCGTTGTCAGTAGTCGCTCAAACCCCTGCCAAGCGTATTAGCCATGCTTGTTGTTCTGGACAGACCAGTACAGAATGATCTCGAGACCTTGACAGACGCTCGCGCCGAGGACCACTGCCCTAGCGCCAGCATAAGCAGAAATTCGGGGCCCAAAAGTCCCAGAGAGGCCAAATGCAGTCGGTCGCGTAGGCCATGATACCATCGGTCGGAGCGGGCAGGGATGTTGGGCATGACAGCCGTCCAGCAACATAGTACAATAGTCAGTAGACAGCTCGAGAGAATGGACCAGGTGCCACGCCCCTCGGGCTCGTCAATCCAGCCATCAACTATGGCTGCAGTAGATGTAGAATTTGTTGACATGGGGAGCGTGGCCCTGACTGGATTGGACTGCCTCTCAGGTCTTCGGGGGGGAGACAGGCTGCCCATATAGCCAGCCCACCACGCGCTGACGACTTGGAGGTTATGCAGGCACCACCGAATCTTCCCCGACGGAGAACTGAGTGGCCAGGATATAGGCGCTGACCTGAAACCTCGCTCAACGTGCACCAGCTGAGGATGCGACCGGTGGCTTGGCCAGTCCTTTGATCCCTGCAAGTCTACCACCCGGTCCATCGCTAAGTGGCTGGTCGGGTCGTTGGCGTCTCGAAGAGAACGCAATCCGTCTCCACTACAAGGCACCGCGGACCGTACCGTGGTCCAAAGTCATCAGGCTGTGTTATTTTAGCAGTTGGCCTCCTCCCTGGTGGCTCAGGTGAGGTGCACCTATTTATAGGTGGTATTGTGGCTTTGCATTCCCTTGCATATTCGACACAGTGAGGCCCAGTTCAAACTCCAAAACTGGTTAAATATGTGACAAACCCCAGTTCGAAAAAAATAAAAATATTAAATCGGAATATCCGCAGGGGTCCGACAACAGGCTGAATCTCCGCTGAAAGGATCACGCCAACCGCTGGTTGCCTGCGTCAGTATGCTTCGCCCCTCCCTTATTAATTCCTGGCCATTTCAGCACCTGTTGCTGGCCATTGCTTTGGTGTTTCATCGCAATAATGACTTCCAATGCACCATCTGAATGCTGCATAGCAGGACATCTGCACGAGGGCAGGGCTAGTGGGAAAATCCAAAAACTTGCCGACAGTGAGTATCCACTACCGACAATGTTGTCACTGCTACCACTGACTGTGTGATAGTCTCAACGTACATCGCCTATCCACCTGACCGGTCGACGAAGAATGCCATCTTGTTCCTCACTGATGGCAATGGCCATCGCTTCATCAATGCCCATTTAATGGCGGACCACTTTGCCGCCCGTGGCTTCCTCGTGGTTATGCCCGACCTCTTCCACGGCGATCCCATCCCAGTCGACTATAGGCCCGACTTTGATATTATGGGCTGGTACAACCAACACCTGCCACCTAGGGTCGATCCTATTGTCGATGCTATACTAGGGGAGATGCGCACTACCCTCGGCTGCCAGCGAGTCGGCGCTGTCGGGTATTGTTTCGGCGGCAAATATGTGTGTCGCTACCTCAAAGCTGGCAAACTGAATGCAGGGTTCATTGCTCACCCAACCATGGTGACTGTGGAGGAGCTGGATGGGATCGAAGGGCCGTTGAGTATTGCAGCAGCCAGTGAGTTGAGCAGGACTGACTGTGTACTCTCCTACATTATTGGTTATGCTGACCAACGGACCAGTTATTGATCCTGTCTTCACCACTGCCAACCGCCACGAGAGTGAGGGGACCCTCGCTAGAGTTGGTGTCCCCTTTCAGATAAACTTATTCTCTGATGTAGAGCACGGATTTGCGGTCCGCTGTGATCTAACACAGCCGAGGCAGAAATTCGCCAAAGAAGCGGCATTTGAACAGGCTGTGGCATGGTTCAATCGGTATATGAAGGAGTGACTGACTGGAGCCAGTCAACACTTGTTTCACTGTTCAGGTTGGACGACTGAGGCTAGACCCTCCCATAATGATTCATCGCATGCTCAACCTTCAGCGGGTCTATACAAGAATTGATGTCTATAAACTTCCATAGGTTACAGATGTATACTTTTCGCAGACTTCAAGTAGTGCTGCTCTTTGTTTCGGGGATTACATATAGTACATATACTACTTACTACCTACCTATATACCCATTCCTTCAAGGCGAGAGAACTTCCGGGAAAAGTATTGCCTGAGACGAGAGAAAATCGAGGTTCTATCTTAGAGAACAGCAGTGTATAGTCATCCATCAATCGTTCCTTCCGCATCAGCATATCATGAAACCTAAATTCCTGTCTGAGAATAGAATGATTGCCATCGCGTTATTTTGATGAGCGACGCGTTTTCCCGAATAGGCAACTAGCTGGTTGTCTTGTGTTATGCCCATGACTCAGCGGATAGACTCTATGCACCCGCATACCCGATCGCGCCACCTTCCGCTCGCAGCAGTCAAGGCAATTATGGCGCGAAGGTGATGTAACGTAGCGTCCTCCAGTGGACCCTGAAGTAGCATCGTCCCCAAATAGAGATCCTCGATCCAACAACGGCCGAGAGACTAAGAAAGATACCTTGACGCCCAAGAGTCCTGACCGGGCACCTCGGATGATTGTGCCTCCATCATGTGAAAGCGGAGATGCAATTATGGGGTGACTCACCTGCATCATACTAGTATGGAGCATGTGCTAGTAATGTGAATTATGTTTGAGGATGTCTAGTACAGTCAGTGTTTGGCTTTCTGGTTAAGTTACAAACTACTAGAGATCGTTTGGTTTTCTGAAGTGTGTGGGGTTTGAAACGGGCAACTACTGGTGTCCATTACGGATATATATATATATATATATATACAGATCATGATCCAACTTGGTACACATTGGTACCACACCACAAGTAGTAGTGATTTCATCCCCATGTTGTGTCTGAAAAAAGTATTTTTACTACTACGCAGGCTTGCGAATCGAAGTAATCCAACATTAATACAAGTACGTACTAAATGCCAATCATCGTAGTATAGGGACAACTTTGTCGAAAAATTTGCTGAATTGAGCAAGCGATACTGGCTTTTCAATGGGGGCACAATAGAAAGTGCAGCTTGGAGGGAAGAGGCCAACAAAATCACGTTGGTACCGATATTAACTTAAATAGCCACGTGAGACTTGCTAATAGTACCAGGAAATAGCTCGAACAAGTCAATTTAGCACTTATATGTACGAATTCAGTAGTGAACAACAAACGCAAAGGGGTATATTAAATAAAAGTCTATCTATAATACAAGTCTATACATATATACAACCCAGTCACGAGGAGGCAGTAGCTCATGACCCAAATTAGGCATTATTGGCGCAGGAGAAGCTGCTGCCAGAGCTGTCACTGGAGATCGAGAGTCCAGAGACCCAGAGACCACAGACACAGATGGTGGCGCCAATGCCGAACAAGGCCAGATTGGCCAGGGTAAGCAGGGTCTTGCGGACAGAGGTGAAGTAGTTGCCCCAGTACATGTAAAGCCAGAAGACACCGGGCAGACCGACTAGGAAATTCGTTAGCGACCAACTCATGGGGTCAAGGACACGTCGATAACGTAAGGGATACTCACAAGAAAACCAACTAGCAAACAATGCGCTGACCAAGCTGACAAGGTCGCTGAAGACAGGGATGGCCTCGGCAATCACCCAGGCGATGATCCAGTAGCCCGCAGCGAGTCCAATCCAAGCACCGACACCCAGGGCACTGCGCTTGTGCATGACATCCGTGCCGCGGAAGAGGCGGACGTAGACGTTCTTGATGGCAACGTGTCCCAGCACGACACCCGCGATGACGATGGTGGGGATAGCAATGCCATAGGCGACCTTGCGGACGACGATACCGGCAGAGCCCAGGGCGGGGGAGGTGACGTTCTGACCAGCGTAGCGATAGATGACGGCGGATGCGACCGTGTAGAAGACGATTTCAAAACCCTGCAACATGCAGAGGGACTTGGGGAAGTCCTTGGGATCCTTCATCTCGGCGATGAAACCGAAGAAGGCAGGGTGACCGCCTGGACCAGGGGTTAGTTACTCAAATGCGACCGATCACAATTGGGGGATGGAAGACGAACAGTAAGCAAAAGCGATGTTAGTGACAGCTGAGAAACCTTTGACGAAAGAAGTTGAGCGGGTGAGCTCCATGGGCGCAGGGTTCGGGTGTTCAACAGCGACTCCAATCATGGTGATCAAGACGGCCGAGAAGATACTGATGAAGGCTGGATTACGAAGTTAGCACGATAGAGGTTGTGGATGGACACAATGAATTACTCACAAGTCACGGCCAGCCACGAGACGTTCTTCATGGTACGAGGGAGAGAGCAGGCGAAGGACAGCACCAAGCCAACGACACCAAACACGACAGAGCAGGTTCCGTGGTTGGTAAGGGTGTTCATCATGACGGTGAAGGTCACCAAGTGACTACCAGACGCGAACATGAAGAAGACCAGCTGAGCGAATTCCGTGAACATGCGACCGTAGCGGCCACACAAGACTTCACCGGCATCAGCCATGCTGTGGATGAAGGGATACCTGGCCCGAAACTGTCCAATGACATAGCCAGAGTAGGTGGCAATGATGCCCATGCCGACGATGAGGATGATGGCACTGATGGCATGACAGGTTAGCAACACTGGGTGACATTGTAGAAGATACGAAACCGTATACTAGTACTTACGGGATCAGGCCAACCTCGGCCACGGTGGCGGGAAGAGACAGAACACCCAGTGACACAGTTTCAGCGATCATCACTGCAGACAGTAAAAGTCAAGGTTAGTTACATGGATTTCGAGAACGATATCAAAGTGGAGCAGCATACGCATTCCAGATTGCCTATAATCGAGAAAAAATGATTGTCAGTCTCTGCCATGAAGAGTATATGCCGTCTGATATGAACGGTGCAGTAGTATAGTTCACGGGTTCCAAACGTACCACCAGTCGAGAGTCTTATAGTGAACCTCTCCAACAGCTTCATTTCCAAAAGGGTCCTTCTCCACGGAAGGTGTCTTCACAATATCATTCTCCCACATGCCTCCATCTTCCTCGACCCGGTGACCCGGTCCATTCTCGATATCCTTCACGTCCAAGGTCGACATGGTTGCTCTTTAGGGACGGGTTGGTTGGCAGGGCTGACTCCTCGAGTAGGGTGAGTTGGATGGGATATAAAGTGTCGAACAAGCACCCGTCTCGAATCTCTCAAAAGTCTCAGCGACAGCAGCAACAGCACCAGGTAAAGGGAGTAGCGGAACTAAACCCAGGCACACCCGCACGAAGCGGGCGTCAATCCATATATGGCCAGAGCCTGCAAAGCATTGACGCATGGCGAGGAGGTTTTTCTTAGTTAATAGAAGGGTCATCCTGGCAAATCAGAGGGCGACTTAATGCAATCTCTGCTGGTGTGACACAAACTTTGCCGCCCGCAGAATCCTGCTCCGACATCGGGCTCCTGCTGGCCCTCACGGCTCCACCGGTCGCACCATGCATCGTTCAGGCACAGAAAGCCTCTATTTAAGCTAAAAAAACGTCCAGGGACCATCTAAAGATGATCGACGAACATCCTGCACGCTTTTCACACCTCGATTGGACGAGGAATCACCAGATAGCGCAGATACTTGCTGGTCCGGCACCGGACCTGGGGGAAGCATGAGGATCAAATTAAGCTCAGCCCCGGAAATACTACTTGCGTCCCCTCTTTTTTCATGTTGCAATCCGGCGGCCGGAGGGGGAGTCGTAGCCACTAAACCTTATGCAGCGTCGCGGTGGCGGATTCCAGATTCCCCATTCTCAAGGTTTTCCACTTTTCCGCCTTCTTTCCCTCGGCGTTCTTGGTTAGGGCTGGTGGCCAGACGGAGGCCTTTCCCAACTGGGTTAAGAGTTTTTGTGTCTGAGGCATGGCCGCTGCCGGTTCTTCGGAGCTTCATGGCAGCACTCCGGCTTGCCTCCCGTCTAGTTTGTCGAACCTGGAGAAATCGAAGGTTCTCTAGAAGCTCGCGAAGCCGATCTGACTCGTTCGTCTGACCGGTTTGCCGACCCGTGACAGCTCCAGCCCAATTAGCCATGATCCCAAATGGGCCTGGATCACATTTCCCCCCATTCATGCCACGTGCCCCCTTCTGGCGGATCCCCGGAATCGGCCGCGCTTCCCATCTTGCCCTGACTCATATCTAGCGAGCGAGCACTTTGCAGCCTCACGCACGATCTTTTGTCCATGGACCCACCCTTTCCATCGGTGACTATCTTTGTTTTGACGGTGCCCATCGTGTACCGGTGGCAAATATCACCAGTTATGGAACTTTCGCATCATGACGTGCGCCTGACTCACACGGTGAATTGATGCATCAAGCTAGGGATAGTAGCTTCAACGATTCAGTCAGAGACTGGCTGTTTCACATATTGCTGCTTCTTGGGGGACTACAGCTGCAAATCTAGCGATGGCAGGATGACGGGAGTGACTCATCCAAGTCATAGAGTGCCGGTTGACCATGTTTGATGGACTTGGTCCGTCTGGCCACACGGCTCGTCAACTTCCAGTAGAAAGATTGACCAGAGACAAGAGTACCTTGCAGTCCCAAATGTTGGTGAGTATGACAGTAGCGTCATCTTGTATCGTATGCAACGTGCATTGGGCTCTCACTCACGAAGAAGAGCGCTTTTACGACTATTCGAGGGAGGGCTTGAATCGTCTGCAGCTAGCTATTTGGATATTTGCTGACGGCTATCTGATGCCAATTGCAAGACGACGCTGACTGAACTGAGATAGCCCACCTAGGCCGAAGCGGAGACGAGCTGAGGTTGAGGTGGCAGGAAGCAGTCATGTCGCAGCCGCTTATACTCCGTGCATCAGATGCAGCCATTATGAGTAGCCATTGTGAGCATGGGCCTCCGTTCCACGTAACAGAATAGCTGCCTCGAGTCGCCCAATGATGTCTGCGCCAAGCCTTTTCTTGTCGCTTTCGACCAGATTGTGTCATTTAAGCTTATTACGTTGTGTACACCTCGTACAACAACATTGTATGTGCAACAGCGATGTGCCGGAGCAACGCGCCTATCTCGCTACGGTGGCACATGCTCATATTCATGTGCAAGAATGCCATTGTCGGAATGGTGTTTGAAGCTGCTGTCAATTTTATTATATCTGGATACCTTTGTCTACCATACGTATATCCATAAGTGTAACTAGGAACCTACTTCGACTAAGAAGGACCCTGTGTACTTGCTGGGACTCACATTAAACTGTGCAATGTCAAGACAGCATGATAAATCCCTGATCTACCCTTCCATGACCCAGAGAAAAGCCCATGTTCGTGTGAATAAAGGATATGCATGCATTCAAGAGTTGCCGTGCATCTACTCTACGATGCAGTGAAGTGCCCAAAGCCCAGTCAGACGATGCACATAACTTGTCGATTAATAGGCAACATTGCTTTACGGTGGGTGCATGGAGAGCATAATCTGATGTCGGATGCAGCGGAGTCTTACGCATCTGCACCACTTCGGATGTGGTAGGAACCATTGTTACCAGTAGTCTAAGTAAATTGTGGTAACATGAGCGCTTAAGCCTTGACATAGGCTTTCAACACTACCAGATATAGCAAACTTGTTTCAGGACAACGAAGCTATAAGAAGCCCAGTTATTGCTCCCCGTAAAGCCCTGCCAACACTCAGCCCATCGACAGTTTAAGCGTTCTTACCAGATCATAGCCAATTATACCGATTATATTTCCAGCCACAGTCTTGTCTACAGGAAATCCCGCAGAAATGGACGCGTCTCCCTTGTCTGGTGATAATGGACACAAATTCGTGGGCGCTCCAGAGGGAGTGGATGTGACTGGTGACTATGGCACCCCGAGCCTCCTCTTCATCTACTACAATCAGCCGGTCTCCGACAAGCATCGCAAGGCGGTGCAGGAGTTGAGACATGACTTAGAGACCTGGAACGCCTTTGAACTTGGGCGTGTAGAATCCCAGGTCAATGAATTGATGCAGAAGGGGAATCTTCCAACCGATGACTACAACGAATCGCGCGTCAGACGTACTGACTATCGCAGCAAGGCGATTCAGTATTTGCGCAAGGAGCACGAATCCTGGTGAGTTTTCATGCTGGGAGTAGATTTCCTCGAAAGCAGTCTCTAACGTTACGCCGCGAAGGCTGGTGGAAGCCGACAAAAAGGAATTTACCGTTGAGCTGAAGACCGACGAGAAGCATATGAACAAGAAGGTCGAACAGGAGCTGCGCGGGCGGCTGGAATCCAAGGAAAACCTACCGGCGCAGTTTGGCGTTGTCTTGCGCATCATCAACCGCATCATTGCTGCACGCAAGCAAGACGACATGCAGCAGTACCATTTCACCAATGTGGAAGTGTGTGCTGATGGCAGGGAAAATCCTGGTAGGCAGATATTACTGTATCCTCGGTGACGCAGCCACTAACAGGATGCCATAGTGGTCAAGTCAACAATGTTCCGGGTCTACGAAGAGGGCGGGGAGGATGAGAGAGGATCTGTCAAAGTCAAGATCGACTATGTCAACCATCGTTGCCAGTTCAACAGGGAGCATTGGGCCAGGGCACGACACAACGTCGAGGACTTCATCAAAGAAGGAGAGAAAATCCGCCGGGCTATGACATTGAACTTTTGTGTGGATGCCTAAGTAGGATCACCAGTAAGCCAGAGGTCCGTGTCGCGTGCAGGACTGCGGTTTAACAGTGAGCATGAATGGTTAGAGCACGTTGGAGGAAATGACATGTTTGGATTAACGAGCGTAGTCTTGACAGAATGAATATGGTTTTGATATCGAGGTCTGCATGACGTAAAACTGCCATCTCGGAGAGGTTCATCTGAAGTATCCACGTAGCCCTTGAAGCCTACGCCACGTTCATGCTACCGAGAAATTGCTCAAAGTTGCTCCAGTCGAGACTGTATTGCGTAATCGTTTGCAGGGAATCTTGCCACAGGCTTGGGCTACCTAACATAGTGCCATATTGGTCGCTACAAGTCCCATCGACATTAGGAGTATGTAGCTGCGAGATCTCCAAAGGTTCGATGCCTTCCTCCCGTGCGAAGTCCAAAGATGCAACTTCATCATTCTCACCTCGCCTCCGAAGTTGCCCGTTCGCAAGAACAGCTTCGTCGAACTTTTGAAGCACTGACTTAAACCTCTGCATGGTCGGACACCTCGCGTTTTCTTGCATTAGGGACTGCAGACTTGCCACCTGGCATTGAACATCACGCTGAGCTGCGTCTTCTAGCTGCCACATAGACTTTGGAAGATCCGGGGGCATGACCCACAGCTGACGGAGGAGCAGAACCATCCCAGCCGAGTATCCGTAGAAAAGGTCCAGGCTAGTTTTCCCATTGACCCTGTTGGCATGATCAAGTAGGATGAGAAGGTTAACAATTCGCATCGCTGCTGTTACACAGCTGGAGGCCAGATACTCAGCGCTCTTTTGCACGTTTTTCGAAGTATTATCAGGTGTAGCCCAAGGATATTGTTGCTTTGAATTATGCCTTCGACTCATTGAAATAACCGTAAGTAAATATGGCCGTGTAAGCTGGATAAGGAGATTATTATAAGTTAAATGGAGGAGAACCGTTGGCCGTAGTTGAGCCGGTGGATATCTAGAAACGAACGCTTCCAGAACCGCCGCTGGGGGAATGGTGCACGCATCCAAGATAGCAGATGGTATAGTAAGATAGGTTGGTATTTCAGTTTCCCAAAATTTCAGCCTAGTCAGGATCGATAATGGATCAGTAGCTGGCGTATCAGTTGATGATACAGGGGAAGCAGGCCGATGTAAGAAAGCGATCGCATCGCGGAGTCGACTGACTTGTCGTTGAAGGTCAGTGGCTACCTGGTGGTGGCTGGGATGACTGGGGAGTGCAGTAGCAGAGTCCTCGGGTGCAGGCCCCAGGGTTACTTCCCTACCGTCAATTACACTTGGGCGTCCCAACCATAAGCAGAGAAATTGCTCAAACGTAAATAATGAAGACCAGACTCGCCTTCGGGAGTCTTGTTCCGTTAGACGAAGGCTCTCGTCAATATCGCTTCGATGCAGGCCCAACGCAATAGCAATTCTCGCAGCACTACCTGTTAGGGTCCATGCTGCATTTCGATCATTGTTGTTGTGCAGGAAGAGTGCCATAAGCAAAAGAGCTTGGACATTAGAGACTGTACATGTGGTCAACAAGCTGGCCAAAGCTCCCCGGGTGAGGTTCCAGCAGCGAGATCTTAGCATGGTTGGTTCATCGGCTTCACATGTAGCGTCATCCTCCAAGATCCAGCAGCCGAAGGCGAGAGCAGCGTGGATACAGGCCACCCAACCATCATCCAATCCCTCTATGTGGCCGATGGGATAGATGTAGGACTCAAGCTTGTTATAGAAGCATCCCTTGTCCAGAAGTGGGAAATCTGCATTTACAGTGTAAAAGAAGGCATTTGTTATTGCCAGCAGACGATCTCGGGGCATTCTCTGCAGCTGTTCCTTGACAAGGGATGATTCTTGGTCGCGTGTAATTGGCGCCGGATTTGTATTAACAGTTGACGTTGACATCGTACTAGAACTTTGCCGAGCCTCGAGAGACTCCGTCAAAGTATCTGCAGCAAAGCAAGAGGATGGCTGTTGCTCCGACACTAGGCTGCGAAGATCAGCAAAGAATGCAAGGGATGCTGAAGGCCCGATGTAATGACTATGGCCCCGGCTGTCTTTGACCAGCTGCGGTGGGCGCTGGCTGGTTCCAATACACCCACGTTGATCGCTACCGTTGCCATCACATGCCAGAGTCTGATAAGCACCTTCTGGGCTCGGTAGCTCAACGCGCTGCTCATCCCCGGTCAGTTGTGGGAGGTCCAGCTTGGGCATTTCATAGCCGGCTTTCCGGCCCAGCTCCAACAGAGCAGGGATACTATTTATGGGTTCGCCCGGAAAGGCCCCTTTCACAAGTGCTTCAAGACAGTGAATCCTACAAGATAGTAAGTCGGCCATACAGTAGATTGAGGGAAGATTAACCTGGCATACCGATCGCGGATGGTCTCGACACTTCCGTACAATCGGGTCTTTCGCTGGTAGCTGGATACGCACGGGATGCCAGATCGTTGGCAAGCGACACAGTCCTCATCTGAGCCTCCGCGACGGATACATTTGCAACGACGCTAAAGCATGCTTGTTAGCATAACTGTGACTGGACAGGAGTAAGCCAGGCAGGATAAGTCCGTCACTCGCCTTCCGGCAGGTGTCACAGCTCGCGAATGTACGTTTCCGCAATTCATCAGGAACGCGACGGCTAGCTGAGCGTTTCTCCATCCTCGGGGAGTAGGCTGGTTCAGGAAGAATCGATCCGCAGACAGCATTCGAAGTGGTGGGTGATATCCCGAATGAAGGATATGACAGTTGAGCTCGCTCGGCACAGGGAGGGGGATCGGCGGATACATGCAGCCGGAGCCTCGGATGGCCTCTAATTCACTCAAAGCTTCCATGCTTGGCGTCCAGCAGTGATGGATATTATCACTACTTATCCCATTATCAGATAACACTTCCGCTACGCTCTACATTACCCTGTTCTGGGGTATCGAGCTCTTCAGTATGTTCAACGCGGGCATGAAAGCTCACTGGCATCTGTCATGTTCAACAAGGATACATCACATAGAGCTGGTTACTTCTCCCTCAGAAAGAAAAAGAAGAACGTAAATAAAAGGAATTGAAATACGATAGATTCGAAGAGAAAAGAAAACAATCTCATCGATTTAATCTGTACTGAATAGAAAGGGCAGCCAATCTGCCCCCTGTTCATACTTTAATAAGAGTAGAAGTGAATGAAAATCCATCAATATGCATAGCCTATGCACGAGGTGTCAACAATCCGCCTCGGAGACACCCTTCAGGCACTGTATAGTCAAATCAATGATGTCGTATGGCAAGTATAGTCTTGTCGGAGCCACCTGGGCTGGAAAAGTAGGATAATACTGTGAACAAAGGATTGTTGATACATCTCAAAGTCCATGCCCATTTGTGGTGTGACCTCCCAACGAACATGACAAGGTACTTCTATTATCGACCTACGGAATTTGCTTAGCAAAGGCATTTTACAACAGCAGACAGTACCCATTTCGTAGGCGCAGAATGTCCCTGATAGCAGGCGAGGCGGAGAGAGTACGGATTCTACCCCAAGCAGCGACTTGGTGGCTTGATCCGGGTGTGTCACAGTCGGAGCAAAAGCCAGCTGACGGAATTATAGACCCCTGAATATTGGCAGACGAGCCACAATGGCGAGGCGCAGATGCTGCAGTCTTTCCTTTTGGGTGACATTACGACTCCGGATGCATACATCCCCGGTCCGAGGATCTGAGTCAAGGACGCGGATCAGTGCTGCAGTTCGTCGCAAATAGCTCACCCATGAGATGCTTCATAAGGCCGCAACAGATACGTACTGTAGAGGTTCACAGTGGGATGCCCTCGTAACTTCACAATGTCTCTGAAATCTGAACCCTTGAACATTCTGATCGTGGGTGCTGGACTCGGTGGTCTGTTCGCATCCTTGGCTCTGCGGCAAGATGGACACCGGGTAACTCTTCTTGATGCCTCTGCTGAATTCAAAGAGGCAAGAACAAAGCCATTTATTTCTTCCTCGAGCAAAGTGAGCTAATTTGCGAACATATAGGCTGGTGCTGGCATTCGCATCCCACCCAACAGCACTCGTCTTCTACGCCGATGGGGAATCGATTTTGACAAATTGCGAAAATGTCTGTGTCAAGAATACCATTTCCTGCGTTGGGAAGACGGCTCCACAATAACGAAGATCACATTCGAAGACATGGTCTCACGTCATGGGGAACCATATTACCTGGTTCACCGAGCCGATTTGCATGCATCCTTACTAGCGGTCGCAATCGAAGCTGGAATTGTCATTCATAAGAATAAACATGTAACCTCCTACGACTTCAGCGTTCCAATGGCTATCACTACGGACTCGGAGAACTGGGCTGCTGACCTCATAATATGTGCGGACGGTGAGACTTGATAATTTGCAGAATGGTGGACGACGTCTGATAATAACGACAGGGATCAAGTCCACTGCACGACCTCTCCTGACAGGTCGGCCGGACAATCCTCGAGACACGGGCGATGTCGCATATCGAATCCTCATACCTGGACAGGATCTCCTGGATGAACCGGATCTCGCCGGGCTCATTACTCACCCGGCAACAACGTCTTGGTGCGGACCAGATGCCCACCTCGTCGGGTACCCAATACGTGACGGTGAGCTGTACAACATAGTAGTGTGTGCGACATCGAAAGGAGAGACGACAGACGATACTTGGGTGGTGGAGGGTGATAATGAAGAGCTTTGCGCGCGGTTTTCCGGATGGGAGCCCCGGGTGCAGAAGTTATGTCGTCTGACAAAGTCCTTTATGAAGTGGCGATTATGCGACCTTCCGGCCCTTTCCACTTGGATCCATCCGTCAGGCAATGCTTGTCTCTTGGGGGATTCCTGCCATCCGATGCTACCGTATCTGGCGCAAGGAGCTGCCCAGGCAGCCGAGGATGCTGCCACAATTCGCAGGGCTCTGGCCGAGGATATCGATATCAGAAGCGCTCTAAAGCGTTATGAGCGTATCCGCAACCCTAGAGCGTCCTTGATTCAGTCTAAGACGCGAGAGCACCAATACATCTTGCATATTGATGACGGTCAGGAGCAGTGCTGGCGAGATGAGCTTATGCGACTGGACAATCCGTCTAGTCCAATCTTCTGGGGATACGAGCTTCGTCGAGGTTGGTTGTTCAGCCACGATGCCGAAAAGATGGAAGAGGCCACTGCAGAGGCACGTTTCAGCCGAGCTGTGCTATAATGTAAGGAAAATGCCGATGAGCTTAGGTCGCGAAATACCCGGACTACCCTCTCATTCCTATATGTCCAAAGGCATGTCGCTAGATTGAAGAACAAAGCATACTTCTCGTTCAGTAGACCACTGCATGACCAAGATAGACTCGGTGCGTAGATTTGGTCCAAAGCTGGATATGCCAATTAGTGAATGCAACTGACAACATGCTTGCCATGAGTTGAACTATACAAAGTACGGTCATGAATTCCGATGCATCGTGTTCACCCCACCTTGCCACCGGTGTCATAACCGAACCTCGCAACTAGATTGACTGTCGATCACTTGTCCCCGAATACATTACCTGAATTACTCGAGCATTTGCGGAGACCCCGCACTCCTCGGCTCCATATCAGGCGGATGGCTGCTTCCATACAAGCCTTAAGAACGTTTCACAACTCGATGGTTGGCTTCAGAAAGAGGTTTTATGAAATCGATATCTTGATATCTTGCCAACAAAGGCGGATGCTCATTTGGCAGACATAGCAGTATTTAACATGAGTACTGATATTCCAGCCACTCGCAAAGTGGCTGTATGCATTGATAACAAGCATATCAAAGTCGAAGAGCGCCCCTTGCCAACACCTAATGACTCGGAGGTTGTGGTGTTAATTGAAGCGACCGGTATCTGCGCGACAGACCTACATCTCGTGCGACGGAGTATTCCTTACCTTCAACGGAAGGTTGACGTCTGTGGTCATGAGGGTGTTGGGCGTATTGTTGCTGTCGGGCCGGATGTAGATACTTCAGAGTGGCGCTTGGGAGACCGAGTCGCTCATCGGTGGATCTTTGATGTCTGCCAAAATTGCGAGATGTGCCACGAAGGGAATGAGCAGCTATGCGACTCGAGAAAGCTTAGTGGAAAGGATGTTGAGGGATGCTGGGGAGGTACCATCTCATCACAAACCCACGTCCCAAGTTCTGACCATAGCTAAAATATGCAAGAATACACAATCGTCAATTCGAAGTATCTCATGCGCATCCCTGAAGATGTCTCTGCGACTGAAGCCGCGCCGACCTTGTGTGCTGGTATGAGTGGAAGACCCCATGCGAGCGTGTTGATGCTAACGGATAGCGGGAATTTCAGGCACAACGGCATATAGAGCTATTCGTACTAGTGGCCTCACTCCTGGGCAGTGGATAGCAATCATTGGAGCTGGAGGCGGGCTGGGCCACTTGTGAGATATCTTCCAAACATGTACCCATAGGTTCGTGGACGCTAACCTCCAACCAGGGCTATACAATACGCCAAAGCGAGCGGGCTGCGGGTTCTTGGAATTGACACAGGCCCAAATAAACGGGAGCTGTCTTGCAAATTGGGAGTCACTGCATACATTGATTTCATGGAGACACCAGTACGCAGACTACTGGCTTAGGCAGAATGTGGCTAACGGAAATCTTACAGGATCTCAAAGCAGATGTCATCCGTGTTACTGAGGGAGGTCCTCATGGAGTAATCGTTGTTAGCTCTAGTAGTAGAGCTTATGAACAAGCCCTGACATACGTCCGGAAGATGGGAATCATAGTCTGCATTGGAATCAGTAAGCTAAGTGATGCATCCGTGCTTCCACATGTACTGATTTTCTACCAGCACCGAACAAGATGCACTTTCCTGTTGGCCCTGAATACTTTGTGGCTCGTGGTGTACGTCTTACTGGCAGTAGCACAGGAACGATGGAGGATACGCGCGAAGCACTGCAGTATGTACGCGATGGTCGAGTCAAACCTATGATTGTTGAGGTGCGGTTGGAGGACATCGGGGCGTGTCTGCAAGCACTCGAGAGAGGAGAGGCCGACGGTCGATATGTGGTCAAATTTAGATGAGTACTTCGGATATGCTTCTGCCAGCGGTCCTTGCGTACAGCTTGGAGTTCCATTTAAGCTTCTTCATTTCCCTTTCTAGCTTAACACTCAATTCAGAGTTTGTGTCGCTCTCAGCTAATGTCTTATGTAATTGTGTCATGAGTACAGCGGGCAGGTATATACACATCACGTATCTGACCATATCTGTAAGCTATACGTGAGATTTATTTAGTCGTCATTAACCAGACAGATGATCTTGCCAGCGTTGACATTCGACTCCAAACGCTTATGGGCATCCGATACTTGAGTCCATGGAAACACTTTATCTACCGTCGTCTTCACCTCGCCTGACTTGATATGGGGTAGAATCTTCTCAGAGAATAAATCACGCAACTGTCCCTGATAATCAGCGGTTCTCGTTCTCAACGTTGTAGCCATCAGCCAAATTCGCTTGTTCAGCAATGCACGCAGATCGAAGTCATCCACCTTGCTCCCGCTTAAAGCTGCAACCAGGACCATGCGAGAATCCATGGCTGCCGAGGCCATGTTCTGGTGAAAATAGTCCCGTCCTACGAGATCCACGATCAGGTCCACCCCGCGTCCATCTGTTTCCCGCTTCACCACTTCTGAGAAGTCCTCTCCGGAGCGATAATTGACCGCAAAGTCCGCCCCAAGAGAGCGACACAATTTACATTTCTCGTCACTCCCAGCAGTAGTGAAGATTTTTGATGCTCCGCCAACTTTGGCGATCTGGATAGCAGATTGACCGACTCCAGAGGCACCAGCATGGATGAGGACCGACTGGCCAGGTTGAAGGTTACCGACTAGATGAATGGCCTGGATAGCTGTGAAAGAGGTCTGTCTGGTCAGTTGGGTGGAAGTGCATGCAATGAGGGTTATTAATCCTACCTCCGGGATACCAGCAGCTTCTTCAAAGCTCAGTGTAGAAGGGAGATGCATGAGCATCTTCTCCGACACAGCGATCTTCTGTGCATACTATATCGTGTCAATTGCAATTTTATGAACGGTGTGAACAGTCACCTACTGCACCCCCGTATGCAAGACCGAACACCTTGTCTCCCACTTGGAAATCCCCGGAGCCTGTTACTGTCAGCTAATGCCTTCGCAATGATGAATGTACTGGCTCACAATCGGGTCCCTTCTCTTCTACAATTCCACTAAATTCCACTCCCATGATCTTCCCCGATTCGGGCAACAAAGGATATGGATAGCGATCCTCTCTTTGCATTATGTCCATGCGATTGAGACCAAATGCTCTAATTCGAACCAGGATGCGATTGCCCGTCGGAACGGGATCAGGCACACCATCTTCGATGAAGAGGGCATCGGCATTGCCTTTGCCGTTTCTTACCCCAACGGCCTTCATGTTGGCGATTGCGCTGTGATGTAGGGATGCTGTGTAAAGGGGTAAAAGCGATGTCAATAGACATACTACGTGACCAGCGCGAGGAGTAAATAATAATGATAATGGCGCAGAAGCCGGATCGAACACACCCCCGCTGACATCACTTGCGGGGACCAGACAAACAGATTGTCGAGTTAGAAATGGACCATTACTTGCCACTTTCCGAGGCGGATCTACACCTCCGTCCGACGGAGAACAACCCTCCGTCGCTGGATTTACCGCTCCGACTGGCTCACCCAGTGCAATGACCGCTGACACGGAGATTCTATGCTTTCTGGAATCATGCACGTGGATAGGGTATAAAATACGCCTGTCTCAGGATCAATCGATCGACTTGTCTAAGCATTTAATCCTGGTCCTACCTCTTTTTGACTAACCCCGTTTGTCTACACCACCTTCGCTACATAGACTTTATATATAAACCGAAAGTACTGACAAGTTAACCACAACGATGGCTACAACCACCGTCACTGAATCCGCCCCTCAGAACGGTCACAGTAATGGATCAGCTTCGACCAATACGTTCTTCGACGATGTGCACTTCCTAGGCGACAAAGAGGGCAAGGTTGTGATCCGCTCGCCCCCGACTTTCGACAATATCGAAGATGAGCGGGCATACCAGAAACAGCATTTGGCCGTAGCCTTCCGTGTCTTTGCCCGGCAGGGATTTGACGAGGGAGTGGCTGGACACATTTCGCTACGCGACCCCCTGAATCCTCGTCAGTGACTATGTTTCCCTCTGCAACAAACGACCCACTAACGAAGCCTACAATAGACCACTTTTGGATCAACCCACTCAGCATGCACTTTTCCATGATCAAAGTTTCCGACCTCGTCCTCGTCAACGAGAACGGCGAAGTTCTCCCCGGGGGTGCCCAGCATCCCATCAATGGCCCTGCGTTCGCTATCCACAGCGAAATCCATAAAGCACGACCGGACCTCAACGCTGCATGCCACGCACACTCCGTCTACGGGAAGGCGTTCTCTTGCTTTGCGCGGCCCATCGAAATGCTGTACCAGGACGCCCTGCGCTTCTACAACGATCTGGCCGTGTACCCTCGCTACGGAGGCACCGTGCTCTCCACTGAAGAAGGGGCTCGCATCGCCAAGGCCCTCGGTCCAACCTGCCGCAGTGTGATTCTGCAGAACCACGGTATGATTACTTGCGGTAGAACGGTCGATGAGGCAGCCTTCCTGTTTATTGCCCTCGACCGGTGCTGTCATGCGCAGATGATGGCCAATGCGGCGGCCGGACCGGGGTGGGAGAAGGTCTACATCAACAAAGAGGAGGCAGAGATGACGCATAGGAAGAGTGGAAACTCGAGTAAGATGTGGTTGGCGTTTCAGCCGTATTATGACCAGGCGGTTAAGGAGGATCCGAGTGTGTTAGAGTGAGTTTACTGCGCTACGATGTGATGTTTTGATGATGTGATGTATTTTATGCGTTCTATTGAACATCGGGCTCAAATCCCGGACTTTCTATTTTGAACTGTGGTCTATATACACGTCGCTAATAGGGTACAACTCCGGTGAACATGGAGGATATGGACACGTCGGGCTCATTCATGAACCCGAACAACAGGTCCAGGTCCTGATTGAAGTCCTGGAAGCCAGATATCTGATTGGCATGATCCAGTCGCGCAGGACTGAAATCCAGACCCGGGAAGGTCTGAAAGTCTAAGTTGATGTCTACCTGGAAGGGGTCTTGAATAGCCGGGTCACATCCTACACATCATTAGTGGGTTTGAGGTTTCTTGATGTCTGTGCAGTGCTTACCAGTTTGGATGGACATGCCGTTGGCTTCCATGAGCCGGCGAATAATTTTTGATGGCGCGGACACACCACAGTTAGGGATGGCCAGCTCGTCCAGACAACGCAGACACACCGTCAGCGGGGAC